TACTGCCCGGGCTGTTGGGTAGTTTGCATACTGCCCGGGTAGTTTGCATACTGCCCAAGTTAGCATATGACCCGTAACATATATATGTTACGGGTCATATGCTAACTTGGGCAGTATGCAAACTACCCGGGCAGTATGCATACTACCCAACAGTCCGGGCAGTATGCATACCGCCCGGGTAGTATGCATACTACCCGACCCCTTGGGCAGTATGCATACCGCCCAAAAGCTTGGGCAGTTTGCATACTGCCCGATTTCCGACTTAAAGTTGTGTAATCCATGTCCACATTAAGAATATAAATGACTCTCTAGATAACAATAGATCGACCGAGAAGAATTTTTGTCGTCAAACGTGATTGATCGATCGTAGGATGGAATGAGGATTGGAATAAAGTGTTGAAATTACTTTTTCCCAAATCTATTGTTGAATAACCAGTGGCCAACAAGTCATCGTCATTGTGAAGCGTGAACTGAGTAAAATGAAACGACGACGACAAAATTTGACGTCATCAATGTTGAAGAGTTTTTTTTCGCTATAACTTTGCCAAAAAAAGAGGAATCAATCTCAAATTTGGTATGTGGATAGGCGGTAGGAACTATCACATATTTTCCGTTTTTTTCGAAATGAAAAAAAAAAACTTTTTGGATTTTTTGAATTTTTTTCCCTATTGTATTAAAAAATTACTTTTTTGATTTTAGGGGGTCAAAATCGAAAAATTTTAAAATCTGAAATAGCAGTTTTGTAACCCTCTAATTCGACCCTTTTTATACCTATTCTTAAAGGGACTATCCCACCTTCTAAAATGTTGTTAAAACCAGTTAAATTGTGCCCGACTTTATAGATTGGATGACCAGGAACACGGTTCTGCCATTTATTTTTCATTAAACATCTAAGGCTTCCCATATTCCAAACACAAACTTTCAAATATTTGACGTCACAGCCCAAAATTGCCTCCTTCCCTAGGCCACATTACTGTCATAAAGCTGATTCTTTTTACTCTGTAGGCACCACAACAAAGTTCAGACCAAGTTTTAAGCGATTTTTCAACGAACAAACCCATTTAAATCAGAATGACTAAACGAGGTGACGTCACACTAACGGTCGCTCCATGTTGAAGATAGGGCCTTGTACAAGGCCCATTTTCAAATGAAGGGAACGAATTTCTTCAACACCAAGAGGCCGCGGGGGTTGCAACCTAGATAGATATAGGTTTCTGAACCTCGCCGCAAACTTGGCTATCTCAACTCAAACCCCATGTTAAAGGTGGGATAGTCCCTTTAAACATTTTCTGTATCTATAAAGCTGTAGGCCTGACAGCTCTTCCCGCGAAACCTTTTTTGGGTCGAAAATGGCAGAAATGACGTCACTCCGACGTCATTAGCGGCCAACCTATCAAAGCCTTTGGAAAATTTTTGGTCACAATGTGTAATAGCTACGATCCCGGGAGGGTACTGAAAGTTTGGTGGCAATCGGCGCAGCGGAATTCTGGATATATATATCGAAAAAACTAAGGGGGACAAAAAATGCCCCCCCCCCCCCCCCACCACCACCCGGAAGGTTAAAACGTTTGTCATTCACATATATACGCGAGTTACTGCATTAACAAGCCTCAGGAAGTGTAGTCAACATACTGCCCGAGTAAACATCTTGCCCGTGAGAAAAAAGGTGGGTGGTATGCATACTACCCGGGAGGTATGCATACTGCCCAAGGGGTCGGGTAGTATGCATACTACCCGGGCGGTATGCATACTGCCCGGGCTGTTGGGTAGTATGCATACTGCCCGGGCAGTTTGCATACTGCCCAAGTTAGCATATGACCCGTAACATATATATAAACCCGGGCTCATAAACCCGGGCTGTTATAACCGGGAACGCGTGCTCTCACCACGCGGAGTCCAACGCTCTACCAACTGACCTACGGGACTGGCTCAGTTATTATCTGAGGAAGTTCGGATGCTGCGATCTGAATCACCTAATGAGATGCCATGCACAATATATAAATTCACGTGTGTGCGCTGTCCTCAAGCCCGGCACGTGTCAGAAGTGAGCAGAGGCGGATCCAGCTCAGAGTTTTGGGAGGGGGGCAAACCATAACAATTTATCGATTCTTTCCATGCATCGTCCATAGGCGTAATGTTAAAATTATGCCGTTTGGGGAGGGGGCAAATGCCCATTTTGCCCCCCCCCTGGATCCGCCACTGGAAGTGAGCCGTGAGCGATTGGGAGCTCCGTTCAGCCCAGCTCATCACCGACACGACATAAGATGGCCCAACGACGCTGCTATGGCGTCTGATGAGCGTCATGACACCAGGCCCGCTGCCAATTAGCTTGTTTATTGCTCAGACTCGAGTGGCGTCAACAGACTGACTGGACCAGGAGCTGGTCGCATTCCAGGCAAATTGGAATACTGGAAACCGCAGACAAGTAGAATACTTCTTCTAATGCCCTGTTGTTCGCCGTGTCCAGTGGAACCGTGAGCAGCGCCGCGTGACAGATGTATACGGGCGTTTGTCCTACTGGTTCTGCCTGACGGTCGCCCCCGTAGATCCAGGGGCGTGTGGGCGGCGTCGCTAACCGGTGGGCGGTGACCGGTCGGCGGCAAGCCTGATGTCAGAGTTTACTCTACCGATACGGCCGCTATGGCCGGCCGGCCGTCGGCCGGCCGGCCCTCGATACCGATAACCGAGTGGCACGGACATGTGTATGTTTCACATTCAACCAGCGCTGATGGGTTTTGCACAGGGACGGCGGGTGCAGATTTTTGTAATCTCTGGAGTCAACAGGAGGATATTGCCTTCATGTCTTTTCTCCATCTCTGTTGACTTTTTGTGGTTTATACCTTAGGTTGTTTTGTGCGTTTTATGCGCATAGGTGCGGGAACCGGGGGGGGGACAGTGGGGGCAGCTTGCCCCCTCCCCCATCTTTGGGCTCTGGGGCCGAAAAGTAAGAAATCGCTACTCGGAGACGTCCAGTAGTTGTGTTTTCAACCATATTGTAGGTACTGTAGCTGTGGCAGTGTAAGGGCGGAAGCACTGAAACATTGGTGTTATGCACCATGCTTGATGCCAGGATTGGCGAAACTGTGGGCCGGGCTCGTGGGAGTCCCGAACCCCCAGTGCCAAAGGCAACGATTGAATCTATGGGCCCCCATATCCCATCTTGGACCGGTGTGGGGTCTCCACGCGCAAGGGTTGAGGTCGTCCAGTGTTGGCCACATGTGACTAATAAGCGATGCTATCACATAAAAAAACGCTTCAGTAAGGGCTGCCCTTCAGATCACTCTTTCGTCTCCCAAGGGTCGTTTGGACAGTTCCCAGAAATGTGTGGTATCTCATATCTGCAAGAACAGACTGTGAAACTGTACTTGCAGATACCACACATCTTTTACAGACTGGGAAAGCGATCCCCAGACTCGTTTTGCTTGATGCACTATTTCTTCATATTTTTCAAGCAGCTTTGAGGACCAAAATAAACGAGCTCAGGCGGCCAATGTATGAATAAGTATACATTGCATGTTTTGCAAAATGTTTTGCAAATATTTTTAAATGTTTATTGGTTATTTATATCAGGTTTATTTCACTCGTAACAATTTCGTCATTATTTCTTTCTATCAAAGTCTGTGGGTCGCAAGAGGCTTTTTATGTCTCAAGGCCAGAAGCGTCCGTACCGGGTGCCAATGTCCAACCCAAGGTTCAACCCATCAAGCCCAAGTCGATTACCAAAACCAAAAACGGGAATAAAACATATGTGCATTTACATACAATGGCAGGTATACATAAAAGCACACGCACATCTATATACACAAACATACACGCTGATAAATACGACATCCATTATCCTTCCATACATAAATACATGTGTTTTGAATTCAAAATAGTCACGTTCATTGAAGATGACTGACAGTCAATATGTACACACACTTATGAATTAGAGATGGTTCTGAGTTCTGACACAGGCGGCAAAGCTCAAACATAGTGAGTCTGTATGGACAATCCAGCTATAAATTGTCCACAACACTGAAGACATCTCTCCGGAAGGGCCACAGCTGATAACACCGACATTGTCGCGCACTTCAGCCTTTGATAACCGGATATTTGCAAAAGCCCGCCATCACTGAATAGTTCGTACTATCAGATACCATGCGAAAAAAACGACCATCGACGTGATAGCTAAACATACTTATGGTAAGTGGGTTGCTGATTCAATCGAAGCAGTTCGACAGTTTTACTGAAGGGTTTGATTATCGCTTGAGTGGTTGAGTTTTTTTTTTTTTTTTTTTTTGTTCATTGATAGCAAATATACGGTTAAATTTCTAACCTTTACTTGTGCGAAAAAAAACTGCTCAACGGCACTGAGGAAATGCCGGGAAATGCTTGCTGAATTTTGAGATACGTTTTGAAATAACCCGGTTACATTAGCGTAGGCTGCGTGACGTTGAAATAGTTAGGACTTATGTTTCGTGACTTACGTTTCATTATATACAGACTTATGTTTCATTAAAGACAAATTGTTCAGTGTTCAATGTATAATTATGCACCTTCCATGCAATGCAATGCATATGTTGTTCCTGCTGACGAGCACGATGCTAGTGATGAAAATGATTATGGTAGTCGCCGTCAACCTACATGAGATTCGCTTCTTGATTTATAATTGTATGTGCGTGTATGCTTGTTTGTGTGTCCACGTTTGCGTATAAATTATGCGTGTTTGAGCGTGTCCGAGTGCGTGAAAACACATGTGAAATGGTATTTACAAATACTTCGTCAGGCTGTCATCACTACCTTTTAGAACATTCACCATATCAAAGCACAGCAGCATGCGGACACACTATTATAATAACAGCTCCACGAGATCCACCGACGCGCTATCACGGATTGGCATTGTTCCGACACCAGTCACACAAAACACTGGGTTTTTGACATTCTCCGTCACCACCTGGCTATCATCAGTTAACCACTGTCACCACACCCTGTCTCACCACCGCGGTACTGACATCAACTCAGTGGTACTGGCGCAGCATCCCGCCGCTCCTCTGCACAGGTTGTTTGGTGATGTTAGCGATGCAGCAGCCCATGAAGAACTCTGCAGAGCGCGCCGCCGTCTCCAGCAGAAGCCAGGTGGTGGAGCCGATGGCAGGCCGGGCGTACAGCAGCGCGAGGTACACGGCGGACAGGAGGACGCCGAGCAGCGCCGTGGTGTACGTCACCTTCAGGATCCGCCGCACCTGTGGACAGCGGACGGTGTAACCGAAGGTTTGTTGTCAATAGTTAAAAAACTATTTTTTAGAATTGTGTTTTTCTATTGAAAAACAAATCTGAGTTGCCTGACAATTTGGCAAAAGTATTCAGGATCCGCTATGCATTCATCGTGCGTCGCCGTCAAAATAAGAGAAGGCATTTGAACACGACAATACCGCTTGCACAATGAAAGAACGACATTTTCTAACACCTTGCTATAATTACCAGCCTAAACCTAACGAGCATTCGCAACGGGGTTGACTGCCTTAACTTCTCCTGCCCAGCCATGAATAAACCAGACAGGTATCCTAGTTTCTCGCCTCCAGCACCCACCTGGTATTTGGGCGACATGCGCACAGTGGTCGGGTGACTGATGTACGCAATGTGATTGAGCACTGTCTGCAGGGTGATATCCGTCGAGACGATCGAGTCTCGCGGCGGCGCGGCTGTCGGCAGCAGGGAGCTTCTGGCCGTCGTCTCGGGGCGCGGCGGGGGCCTCTTGGGACGGCTGGCGGCCGGTGCCGGCGGAGCGGGGGCCGGGGAGATGGTCTCCAGAGAGTCCGGCTCACTCGGGGCGCAGCATGACCGGCTGAGGGATAGGGTCGGGTCACGGTGGGTCACGGGTCGGTTAAGATTCGATGTCGGAGCGGTCACAGATCGGTGACATGGTGGTGAGGGCCGATCATTGGTTGCAAATCCCGCCATGGCGGGGGCTATTTCAGAGTCCGAAAAGGTCTGAGGCACTCTGAAATGAATGATCATACGAATGGGGTGATAAGCGACCATTAACAGTTTAACCTGACCGGCTTTGCGCCTTTACCTGACGACAAAAGCGCCTTTACAATGCCGTTCTTCCCTACCTGCGGCTGCGATCGGACGACGCTAGCGCCGCCTTGCGGCCGGTCGCCGCACTCTCGCTGCAGCGTCTGCCCGTGGGGCGGAGCGGCCGCCGCACGGGAGCCACGGGGTCAGACGGTCTCCGCTCGCAGCTGGGGGTCTCCTCGGCAGCCGGAGCGGGTTGCTCTGGAACAGGTCACTTTGCTAACTCTAGGTCACGGCTCCACTCGTTAATCATTCGCAAGCTCCCCTGGTTAGCTCCTCAGTTGGTTCGGCGCGGTGGTAGGAACAGCAGTTTCGCTGTGTTAGCTGTATCGCTCCCCCGTTAGCTGTTGCCTGGCTAGGCCGTTTCGATGACAATCTTACTGTGTCTTACCGTGTAAGCTCTAAGCTCACAGCTCGTTCGTTTTCTCTAACCTCGCTGTGCGCTAGTACTGACATGCCTTCTGTGTTAGATCTAAGCTCCCAGCTCGCTCGATGGAGCCTTTCCATGCTCCTCTCGTCTTGCATGCCTCGGCTGTGGCCGTTATGGAATTCTCGCCTCGGAAGCTCACCCCTGACTCGTTAGCTCCTCGCCTGTCTCGGCAGCTCGCTACTTACCTGGCTCTGCACTAGTAATGGCCGTCTCGCTGTGGAAGCTGACTGTCCGCTCGTTTTCGTCTGTGATGCGGATTTTGGGTGGCGGCGCCGCCGTCCGCTGGCCACCGGAGGCGATCACAGAACTGGCGATGTTACCGCACCTCGCCAGCAGCGCCAGCTGCATGATTCCTGGAGAGGGTGGCGAGGTAAGGTCAGAGAGCTTGGATGGAATATGGACTGAACAGTGGAGAGACACAGCAGAACTGAAAAGGAATACTAAGGAAGAAAGAAAGCAAGTAACTAACTGAAAAGTGGTGATTTATGTAACGGCATTTCGGTTGACATTTAATCGAGGTTGCATTGGTTATCTGAAAGAACAGATTTTATTGGTTATTTTATTTTGTTATTGAATGGCACAAAATTAAATAATGTCGCAGCGACCTGACGTCATTCACATTCCTTTCATTAATTTCTAAATGAGAGCTGTATTAATGTAATTAGCGGAAGGCAAATTTAAGCTTGCCTTGCATTTCAATTTGACATCAAATACGGCACGTTGAAATGGCATGCATTTCTCTTGCATGCGTGAAGCAAGCATAGATACAAAATACTTATACCCACTGGCAAACAGGCAGCAGCGTTATACCAGCTTCTCCAAACGAAATGTGTTCTTTAGACCAGAATAACTCAATTTCCTTGTTTGGATTCCGCTGTGGAGTTTGCATACCGAATTTCAGAGGACGTGCAGGCGCGTACCTTTGGTGTTGGTGTCGACTGTGCCGTTATTGAAGGCGCTGGACGGCAGCTCGTTCAACATGTGCAGCACCTTGTATCCGATAAAGAGGAAGGTGGTGTGGATGAAAAGACACCAAACGATAAACACCGTCTGGGATATATACAGCAGAGCCTGTGAAAGAAGTAGGATATAAAGATAAAACGTATGCAAAACACGTCACGATATTGACGCGTAGGTATGGCGTTAACGTCAAAGGGATCAGAGAGTGGCATGGGCCTAATAACCTGCTGCATGTGCATCAAATATTCAAATGCATCATTTTTCGATAAAAGTCAAGGACAATAACCAAGTGTACCCATAAAAGTATACACTAATCCAATACAGTTATTTGCAGTGCCTCGAAAACTCAAGCACCAAAATCAACAAATGCTATTATGTCAAGCCCCGATCGTCGCAGCAATGGTTGACACTCGTCCTCATCTATGCCCGTATCACGCCAACTCGGCAGTCTCCCTCTCCCTCCCTAGGACGTGTCCCATACCGTGGCCTCCGTCTCCAGGCCCGCGATAAGGTCCGTGATGAGCACGGTGAAGAAATGGCCGCAGATGACACTGGACAGGAACGGCCGCCTTCGCAGGAACGCCGGCCCGAAACTCATCTGACGACAAAACGGGCGGGTGTAAATCTACGCTTACATGTCGGAATGTCGGGCAGAGTCTACATACATACGTCTACGTCAGTGTGTGGTCGGGCAGAAGAATAGGCGTTTCATATTAAAACTTATTTTACTTGCAATAGATTTTTCTATAACATTTTGTCAATGGTGTTTATGCATACGTTCGCTAGCGTGATATGTCTGCGCCCAAAGTGTAAATCATATTGCAGTCTGTCTTAAACGTACCGCGCAAAGTGACGGTGGATCCATCAAGCCTGACCGAGGAAGGGCCTGCTAAATTTGAGTCACCGAAGCAATTGACATCCTCGTCCATTCCCCAGGTCAATTGGTTCCATGACTTTCAAATTATAGCGGGCCCTTCCTCGGTCAGGGTGGATCCACCGTCACTTTGCGCGGTACTTTTAAGGCAGACTGTACGTGAGAAGGCATACCTCCCTCTAAAACACACCTCTTCAGTAAGACAGCGAGCAGTCTGCAGCCACCACACACACGTTTTGGCCGTGCGCCACAGGGAACTGACCTGGGACAGCTCAGAGAACGTGTACTGAATGATGATAGAGGCTGCCAGCAGACAGGGGAAGCCGACGTCCCACAGAAGGCGTGAGACCACCTCGGGCAGCACCTGCACGTGCGACACAGGAACCGCGGGTCAGTGACCGAACGCCAGCATTGCAGGTTGAACGGCACTGACAGATCACGATCGAATTGAAAACTACTGCAGTCGGCAGCCGTTACTTTTTCCCGTCTGTTTAAACAAAAATAATTGCTTATATTTCTAAGCATTTTTTGGCATTTATCGTTTATTTGGTAACAAAACACACTTGTCTCAGGTAGTAATTGTGATTGTTACCGAGCAAGAAAAAAACAACGTGAGTGGCTTTGTACCGGTCAATCATCGCTGATAATGCCAAAGATCTAATCTTTAGGACTATCATTCCAAGTGTCATTACCATACCAAACGTCATCAATGGCAAATAAGCCGCACAGAACTATCTTGATGGCCTACTTAACTATCATGAAAACCATCCAATATCTGCCGGGGCCTTCCAGCATTGCGACAAACAAGGCGCTCATCTAACGCACCTTGCAACGTAAGAATGTCCTACAGTTTTAACACTGACACCAGAACCTGTCACCAAGGTCCGAAAAGCTGCTGCTGCCCTAAGAAACTGAGGCGCGCTTTGAGAGAATATCAACCGATGATCTGTTCTGGGCCTAGGTTATTTATTTTTAATACTTTCGAAAATAGACGCTTACCTAGTAAAATACATAAGAAAAACGCATGACGCTCAATGCGTAGTTAGGAAATTAGGATTCAGAAACGCAACTTGTCTTTTTCTGCGCGACATCAGACATCAGTGTTATCACCGTCCGGGTGGTCAGAAGCGTTTGCACGTTTGTTTACCTATGTCGATCAGATACCTATAAAATGAGCGTGTAAAATTAAGTTTGAATCAAAGCCATTGCTTTATGGACGATTTACAAACATTTATTTCATCTCCCGATAGTGTCATCATTACTCATGCCTTCGTGGAATGGTGAGACGTGCTTACCTCCTGAAGGTGGTACTGCTCGATGACGAGGTAGGCCGCCCTGCTGACACCCAGCGCACACAGGAAGCCATTCACGGTGGCCATGAATGGTCGACTGGATATCTGCGACCTGAAACCAAACTCCGAAACTGGTCAGAATGATCGGTCGTGCCTGCAGAATCTTTGTTGGAAGGTTTTGAGTGAGAAGATTTCCGGAGCGAGAGCCCGAGCGGAGTTTCATTTGCCGTAAATGTCAAGAACTTCAACGTCTGATCGTACAGTGTCGCTTATGCTGTGTAATTTAGCGTCAAACTTTGGACGTGCTTGCGGAGTATGACAAAACACACCGACTGGCAGCATTTACGTTTAGCGTTAGCGTTGAACGTTCACAGCATAATTGAAGATTATGTATCAGATGTTATGGGTAATCACAGAGCTTATCAAAAATATGTAATGGCGATTTACTCACATTTCCCGTAAATATGCATAGATTGTATGAAGATGATCGACTTCATAGAACACACTTTGATGGGATATTGAAGCGTATGCTTGTTGTTTGTGCATTGCGAGACCATGTTTATTTTTCGTTATGACTACGCCACTGTCACAAGCTTTCTTTGGTTTACGACGGGTTTGAGCACACAATGCTCTTGAGATTGGTCATTACGGTTTTAATAGAGAATCAAGTAGTCTTGCCTGATATTCATTCCGGAGAAGAAGGCGTAGAAGGCTAGCATGAAGAATAGACAGGCGAACCCGTAGATATGTACCACCATCCACCAGGGCGGCCCCTCGGAGAAGATGACGTCATCATCAATACCGCCAGGCTCGCCCGTATCTGCAACATGAAAGGCGCGCTTAGAATGATTAAACGAAACACGTCAATATAGTTATATTGGCCGTTTTCACGACGGAACTTTCGCAGAGGAACTTATTTGATACCTAAAAAGTACCTACCCTTAGAGGCCTTAACATCCCTCAAACTGAAATATTTTATGTTCAAAATAATTTTAGAAGTTTAAATCCGGGCATTTTTTGCCCTCAAATCACTTATTTATTTACAAACACAGCAATTTTTGGTTCTAGTAGCCCACCTTTCGACTATGAGGTATTAAATCAGCGTGGCAACTTGCTCCCTCTTTGCTCCCTCGGGTATCTAATTCCGGAATTCTTAAAAACAAGGAAAGTATATATCGAGTTCTCTTTTATACCTATTCAGTTATGTTTTAATGGTGATTAAAATATGACAAATTTTTTAATTACATTTCATATAAGAAAACACGCAAAACAATGAAACAAAAATAACTACGGCAGATAATTACCTTCAGGTATCTAATTCCGACCAATCAGCACCTCAGTAGGATATGACGTCATACAAGAATGGTGGTGAAGGCCGTTTGCAGTCCCGGCCGGTAGGTCACGTGACCGCCGGGCGCCTCGGGTCACGCGGCGGTCGGGAGTCGGACGCGGGGCGTGGTCGCGGGCGGACGCGCGGGGCATCATGCTTTGCTTTGCTTGCTTTGTCAACTTCATATAACTTACTATCGCATTCGTGTGAAAGCCAAACACTGCTCAGTGCCTTTAGAAATTGAGTTTTGGAAAGCTCAAGTCCCTATAGCTCCTCAGGTCGGCAACAGTTGAAGCCTCATCCAGGGCCTATTTTAACATGTTAACTGGGGGGGCAAATGCCCCCGCACTCAACAGAATTGCCCCCCTAGTCGTCGAGATTTGCCCACTATAAAAATGGGCATAAAGGAACAGGGTGACAAACATACTACGTAACTACTGTGACTTGTTTTGCAATGGATGTCAAATGAGTCAGTCTGTAAGTAATGACCAGTGGTGTATCTAAGGGTGGGTCATATGGGTCATGACCCCCCACCCTCTTGGGGCCCGGGGACACCACAGGCCTGCCAGGGGCACCACCGGCCTGTCAGGGGCACCACAGGCCTGTTGGGAGCACCATCAACCTAGCAAGAGCACCATAGGTCTGCCAGGGGCACCACGGACCTGCCAGGGGCCCCACCGGCCTCGCAGGGGCACCACCTTGGGCCTGTCAGGGGTACCACCACAGGCCCGCCAGGGGCACCATAGGCCTGCCAGAGGCACCATAGGCCTAGCAAGGGCGCCACGGACCTGTCAGGGGCACCAGAGGCCTAGTATGGACACCACATGCCTGGCAGGGACACCACCGGCCTCGCAGGGACTGGGACACCTTGGGCCTGTTAGTGGCACCACGTGCCTGTCGGGGACACTCCAGGCTTGTCAGGAGCACCACAGTCCTGTCAGGGCCCAGGGGCACCACCGGCCTCACGTGGACACCACCGGCCTCGCAAAGGCATCATGGGCCTGTCAGGGGCACCACGGGCCTGTCGTTGGAACTTCAGGCTTGTCAGGGGCACCACAGTTCTTTCAGATGCACCGGCGGCCTAGCACCATGGCACCATGTTTGGCCGAGGTCGCGATTCGGCGTATGTCGCCTCGCATTAGCCGCGCGTTTGCAGTCTTTTCGTGGTTTCAAACGTTCAAACATGGGATATGATGTAGCTCCCATGCATTAGGGTGGGTGTCAAGATCACCGGAAGGTCAGGTCAGATCATTTACCTTTGATGACCTCGGTTCACATTTTCGAGTTTTATATGTTTCTACTTTCTAGGCTAGTTTTTGGAGCTGAATTCGAATTAAGCAACCATTTGACCATTTACGAAGTAGTTTTGGTGCCTTCGTAACATGTTACGAAGCTGTCAGAGGCGGTTGCCACCTACTACGAATACCCGGCAAAACCCTTACTGGTTGACCTGACCTGACCTGACCTGGCCTCACTGGCGGATCCAGGGGGGGGCCACCGGGGCCATGGCCCCCCCCCAAAAGCCTGAAAGGGGGGGCCAACATATCTTTTGGCCCCCCCCCAAAACGCTTGGAGAAAAATTAACGTGAGAAGGTTGCGTAGTAGATACCTACTAGAATCAGCAGCGTGATTCAATAGCGTAGAGAAAGTCAGGGGCGCGGGAACTACTTTCAGACTGGGGGAGCACACCATAATAGAGATCAACCTAGGGTCCCCCCAAATCTAGTTTTCTCACCGGTTTTAGGCCACTTATTTTTCATCCCTTGGCTTTTTCAACAAAAAAAGAAACAGTTGCAAAAAAGGACGGTATTCCGTTTGAAAGTTGTGGGGGCACCGCCCCCACTGGCGGATTCAAGGGGGCCACCGGGGCCATGGGCCCAAAAAGCCTGAAAGAGGGGGCCAACATATCTTTTGGCCCCCCAAAACGCTCGAAGAAAAATTAATGTGAGAAGGTTGTGTAGTAGATACTTACTAGAATCAGCAGCGTGATTCAATAGCGTAGAGAAACCCAGGGGCGCGGGAACTACTTTTAGACGGGGGGGGGGGGGGGGGGGAGGTCACACCATCATCATCATCATCATCATGTATTTCGGACAACATCCATAAAATGGTTTTTCAGCAATCCACGTCATCTGACAATAAAAGCGACAATGAAAGACACACAGATACACACACAGAAACACGTACCTAGCATGACAGTAATCACAAACAAGTGCATCAACCTAAGTGCGCAATCGACATACCTTTCTTAAAAGCAGTCATATTTGGTGATGCTCTGATCTCGGGGGTCAGGCAATTCCACGCTCTCACCGCCCGGTGGTAAAAAGAGCGTCTGGCAAGCTCGGTGCGTGCACGCGGCAGCTCCAGCAGACCGTCGCTGACCGCCCTGGTGGTGCGCGACGACACATTGGCGCGACTCACCAGTCGAGCGCGCAAAAGTTCAGGGGCGCTCTCACGTGTGAGTCTGTACATGGTGCATAGGTCACGTTCGGTTATCATGTCTCCGATGGTGGGCCAGCCAAGCTCGCGCAACGTCCCGGATATGTGCTCACGGTACCCTAAGCCAGACACGACGCGGGCGGCAAAGTTGATGCACTTTTGTAGCCGACGTTTCTGGGTCGCATTACAGCCTCCCCACACACTCATGCAGTAGTACAAATGGGGGAACACGAGGGCTTCAACTAGCAGTTTCTTTGTTTCTCGCGGTACGCGGCGCTGCATTCTGGCCAGCCCTATCAAAACACAGTAACACCGCCGGGTGACTGTGCCTATGTGGTGTTCCCAAGTCAGATTCGAGTCGAGATTTACGCCCAGGATCTTGACACACTGTACTGGAACGAGATCGGAGTTACTAAATCGTACTTGAATGTCAAAAGGGGAGTTTTGGCGTGATGATTTAAAAACGAGCAAGTCAGTCTTAGAAGGATTGAGCTTAAGTCTATTTGTTGTAAACCATCGCAAAGCTACGGACAAATTTTCTTCAACGCGCCTTTTCACTTCAAAAACATTGCCTGGCGAGTCAGAGTCGAGAAACTGGACAACCATCGGCGTACATAACCATGATAGAGATCAACCTAGGATCCCCCAAATATAGTTTTCTCGCCGGTTTTAGGCCACTTATTTTTCATCCCTTGGCTTTTTCAACAAAAAAGAAAACATTTGCAAAAAGGAGCGGTATTCTGTCTGAAAGTTGTGGGGGCACCGCCCGCACGGCCCCAGAGTTGGGGGGGGGGGGCAAGCTGCCACCACTGCCCCCTCCCCCCGGTTCCCGCGCCTATGGAGAAACTACCGGGTTTACTAGCTTCCTTCATAAAGTGTCGTCATGTCTTATCGTCACCCGAGAAGGTCTTATTGCATAAATATCGATTGAGCTGTCAAGTTAACAAACTTGCTGTGGCAGCCTGACCTGACATGACCCGGCAACTTTTCATTCACGGAATATGCGCAATAAATTTTTTAGGAAAACTCATTGAGTTTTCGTTGAAAAAAAACTTGTTTTGTTTCGTAATTGTACAAGAAGCATATGAGGGACCTTTTTGTCCCTTCCTGCGAAACGGTAAAAGACTTATTTCGGTCACAGCTCAGGCCAATCTCTAAGGGTCAGTCGGGTCACTTATTTCTTCAAAGGGTCCTTACGGCATCCAAGGACCAATTCCGGCTTTTGAGTGCGCCACATCAGCATTTGATGCTACGACAGATGTCGAAATCTGAATATATGTTACAGGCCGTATGAAAATTCGGTCCGTTTGCAAACGGCCTGGCCCAGTCAGGCCATAT